ATCGGTATATTCCGACCTGATTCATACTCCAGTAATGATACCAGCCGAGTTGAATCGTTAGACTGGTGAATCATTTCAAGTTAGCTTCAGATGATATATAAAATAAATGATGTTTACGTACTGTTGTTGCTTAGCCTGCCCCTAGATACTCCTTCTATATTTAGTATTGCGTGCGTAAATTCCGAAAATAAATTTCCGGAAATGCTTGGTTCTACACAAGGGATGTTATCACGGCTAGACACACCAAATTAACTGAAACGTATCAATTTGCTATTGAGAATAATTTTCCTAGAAAAAACAAACTCGTGTCGCCTTTAAACTTCCTGTTTGGTCGAGTAAGTATGTGTTAATCTCATGATTATATAATAAGCTTTCGAATGACACACCGGTCACGCGGCTGATGGTTTTACTGTTACATTTCATTCTAGTATAAATAGCAGGTAAGGTCTTTCATCCCCATAACGTAGGTCTGATTTATTGAGCGAGCTGCCACATTATCTACCAAAGCGACAAAATGAGCATCCCATTCTTTTACGTTTTAAAATGTAAAAAAGAGTTCGAAACAGAAGAGTTGTAACAACATGGCAACAAAGCTCGATTACCAGCCGCTGTTCGGGAACCGAAGCCCGCACTCCTCCCCGAAGGAAAAAGACTGGACCTGAGGGAGCGGCGGAAATCGAGCCTTTGTACGTGGCAACCGGTCGAGTAATTATTTCAGTTCAGCTTTTCGGAGTCGTGATGATGTGCGTATTTTGTCCCTTTAAAGCTGACTTTGTCGGGGCTATTCAGTCTTAACTCTGTTTCACGGTAAAAATTATCAAAAATAAGGCTCATATATAATTGTCCATGGATCCATTATGCAGGATTAATGTTGGTCAACGTATTTTTATGCCAGACTGTGCATACTACTATGAAACTGTACTTTTTATAATGTTCTTACGCGCACTACTTCTAGGTTCTGATCACAAAGACTGATTAGCCTTTCCTGTTACAGAAAAATTCCTCCTGGAATTCCATTGCATCGGAATACAATCGAATTTTCTACTTTTTCCAATACAATTCCATTGCTTTTTCTAGCGCAATCCCATCGCCTAAAGTTACTAAAAAGCTTTATTATTTGGGAGGCCACGATTACACAGTTTAATTTGTACCCGAAGAACGGAGAAGTCAAGTATTAATATTTTTAAAGGGAAAGTACGGTCTAGAAAAAGTTTATCACAATTAGAAGACTTTTTCCTCCGGAGTTCGAAAATAACTGCCATTTTGTCCAGTTTGCTTTGTAATGGCGACAAGAGTGCTTTGAAGTTGCCCATTTTTACAACTTTCGCGGTAAGAGAAACGCCATCTTGGATATTACGTCAGTTGTGACTTAGCAATAATCAAACTTTGTTCGGCACCTTGTCCTTGTCGAAGTGTTACCTTTGTGAAAACAATTTCTAATACTAATAATTGAAATGAGATGAACTGTCGTGGGGTTGAATGTCAAAATGCATGCCAAAATTCATAAGGAAAGTGTGTAAGCCTCTAGAAGCTACCGGAAAGTGATTAAAGAAAAGTTAGCCAGCCAAACCCTGCAAAACGAAGACTTCCAGCGATGATATACAGGCATGTAAGTTTTCCTTGTTGATCTTCCCTTCGAACTGAAAGCGATGCTTACCTTTTCCATATTCGACACAAATTTCAGTTATTTATTAAATGAATTTTCTCAAACCATTTTATTGTAAGCGAATAAATTGAAGCTCGAAATGGTGGTACACTGTGTGTGGCTAATTCTCTGTCGCCACCCTTGACCACAAGCAGTGTATAAATATATCTTGTCTTTCCTAAGTCTGTTATGAGTTCACCGAGTAAATTTTCTTTATCCCACTAGTCGCATTCTCCTGCGAAAAAAAAAAAAACTAAATGACATTTAATACATTGCTAGCAAATAATCAAGACAGACATGTATGTAACAACTACAAACTATCCTTCGTTAGCCAGGCGCCCATATTTCACTATATCCTATCGATTGGTCCCGATAAAAATAATATGAAAATATTTCAAGTCTTCTAACCAACTACTTGGCGTAATTATGCAGTGCTTATAATTTTTAAAGAGTGGAAAGTTTCATTTTAGCTTCATATATTCATAGTTGATATATTGAGGTAATTTCTGATGTAAACACTGTATAACAGAGGCGACTTCCAAAATGTCAAAGCTTTACTTCTCACAAATTACGACATTTCAAACACTTTAGAAACAAAAATACTGCGTTGAAGCTAATTCTAAGCAATAAAGATAAAAACACCATCGCAAATTAAAGGTAAATGCTGAAACCAACAAAATTTAATTCGTAACAATTAACTTCTGCCTTTTGTCTGCGTTAACTTTGGCAACTAACTGTTTCTAATCAATTTTGTCGGTGTTCACAAATACGAAGAATGATCTTCAAGTTTATCATTTCTTATTTGTCGCGTGCCAACTGGGGCTGTTCTTAGTTCCAAATAGCTTGTGTTCAGTTATGCACCGAAGCTGGATTCTCGTAACTGCAAAAATAACTCGTCTCATTCCGAGTTATGAACGTGAAATGAATCCGTAGCGGGAACTGCGGTCTTCTTTACCCAAATAACTATCACTCCACAGCTAGGATTTGTTGGAAGAAAAAGCCTTTGCCTTTCAAATTGAGTCGGTGTCCTAGAACATTTAATTCTTAGATCATTCATCCTCGTTTTCCGTAGGTTTCTTTAGACAGTTGATGCAAGAGAACCACTCGCGATTTCCAAGACGTGAGCGAATGAGCGGGTCAATATTTTATTTTGAAACTCATTTTCCTGACTTTCTCTCCCTTTCTACTCAACAGAGGTATCTCCTTCCCTTGCAGACAAGCCATGTTTTGTTTGAAACATAAATGAATGTACTACACCCTCGCGGCTAGATTAAATTCCAAGTCGATAATTTAATAAGTAGCACTCTCCCCGCCGCTGTTTTCCTTGTTTACATCCACTTCAGTAGGGATATAATTTAGCATGCTTGACTATTGCTACATCATAGTTTCGTCATAACAAAGATGGCGGATTTCAATTTGAAAATGCCGATTTTTGGAACGTAATTGTTCGCAATTAAAACGCTTTTAGCTCAAATGAATAGCCGGTTAGAATAATCATCGCGGCAAGCAAGGACTTTCGATATAAGTAAACTTTTTCTAGACCGTCCTTTCCCTTTAAGAAGGGACCTTAAGCAAACCACGACGGCGACGGCAACGAGGACGTGAGAAAACAAAAGATCTAATTGGCAGAACAATAGTTCAGCACGTGCATTGTAAAACGTAGTACATTTCTTAGCCGTCCTTTGCAAAACAACAACGTGAAATCACCAAAATTTGCGTCGTCTGCGAACCGAAACCGCGACGGCAAATTGTTTTAATTTCCATTTGGAACTCAACGCTACTTTTATACTTTATGTCGAGGTTGAGTGGTGGCGCTGTATGAGATAGTAAACACATGCAGCCATTTTTGAAGTTTTAATTAAAAGTAGAAATTAATTTTTTAATCGACGTCTTCCTTGGCGTTGCCGTCCTGACTGCTTTAAGGTCCGGTAATACGGGCAACATTTTTCTTCCACTTGTCTTGCAACATTGTTGCATTGCAAATTGAAACCCTTTGTTGAAAATTTGTTGCACAAAGTAGAACTCGAGTCTACTTTGCGCAACACGTTGCCTCAACTTGCAAAACTATATTTTGTTGCGAGACAAGTTGGTTACGAACGTGGTAATACGCGCAACAAGGGGTTTCAACTTACAATGCAACAATGTTGCAAGACAAGTTGAAGAATAATGTTGCCCGTATTACTGGATCTTAAGGTTCCTAGTGACTGCTTCATATGGAAGTCAAATAAACGCTAACCAAGCATTCGCTCAGCTTAATTTACTTGTGCGTAAGATGGATTGTTAAATCCAATATTAACCAACACAACGAAATTTCATCATCATCATCAATCCTTTTCATGCCTCGTGGCACATAGGGCCTTCGCAGAGCTTTTCCACTCCTCTCGATTGGTTGCTGCTGTCCACACCGCCTCCCACGACCTCCAACCTGCCTCTTGCCTTTCTTTCTCTACTGTACGCCTCCAAGTGGTTTTTGGTCTTTCCCTTCTCCTTTTACCTTCTGGCGCCCAGTTCATAGCAACATTGCAATCATCATTACGATCTTTCCTAAGAATATGACCAATCATTTTTCATTTACGAGACATCCCTTCCGCACTCAGTGGCTTCATGCCTGCCCTTTCCAGTAGCTCTTTGGTGCTGACATGATCTTGCCATCGGATTCGAAGGATCTTTCGTAGGCACCTATTACAGAATACATTTACTGCTTTATCATCTCCCTTATTCATCTTCCATGTCTCAGACAAACCCGTAAATTAAAAAAGGTCAATAAAAGATTTAGGACATGAGATCTCTTATGCCATACAAATTTAAGATTAATGTATAGAATTTGTCTTACGTTTTTTTAGCGGGAATGGTACAAGATTCTTCGCACGCGATAATGAATTACAGGATTGTGAGGTGAGCACCATAAGTAGCTTTTATGATGTTATTTAAGCTTGATGTTGAGACTTAAAACAAAGACTCGAATTCATCAAACATAACACTGTAGTGGTACTTGAAGAAATCAGAAGAACAGAAAAAAAAAAGGATAAAAAATTAGAATACTAGGGTAGTCAAACTCCTACTCTTTTATTCACGAGAATAAAGAATGTCTGATCTACGTGGTTCTTTCCCTTTAATTTAACAATTGCTGAAAACAAGCGGAAATGATGCATGCTTTTTGACTGATATTATACCTTTTTTACCGAGCAGACTGAAAGTATTAGAACGAAAACATCTCAGTTGACCCAAATGAAGCCCTCTCGCTCACCCGGATGATCACAAAACACGTGGAAATCATTACTGTTCTCGGGCTTAAGCCATTCACCATCTTTAAACACATTGGAGGCGTACATTTTGTTATTTTGCAGGGCGGAGATACTCCCGAGAGCTATTTTGAGGGGAGCTGCAATTTTCACTCGCCGAACGCATTCCTGCGTTCCCTCGGAGATGAAGCACAAGAGTCGAGTCATCAAATGTCAAATGGTGAGCTGAACACTGGATCATCCTTCCCAATCACGGAACCAGAAAATGCCGCCATTGAAATGATAAATGGACTGTGGCATCAAGAGACTTTCGTGTACCCGAGGGAAGCTGACGAACAGCTTTCAGGACAAAACAGTGAAGTTTCTCCTCCATTTTCAGAGATGCACCCCTTTGAAAAAAACAGATCATATCAGAGGTCAACTCATCAACAAGCAGAGAGAGGACAGGAAAATGGATTGCCCAACCCTATGGCTTCCGGTGTAACCCCTGATGAAACATTCTTCTTCTCTCAAGAAGTGAATTTGCCTCCTTACTTGACAGAAGTTAGGGAAGAACGACACCTCCTTGACCCATGCGAGGGAGATGAGGCCTTGGTGGTATCCTATCCCATCCAGGAGGAGAATCCGCTTTCAGATCAACTGACGGAAACACCGCAGCAGCCAACGTACCATCAAGAAGATTGTGCACTTCACAATGGGTTGAGTTCACCTACTCAGGAAACAGCAGTGCATGATGCATCACCACCACCACCACCAGATACGGGCTATCCAGCACAAGAGAGAGAACAGGATGTTCGAGGTAGTTATCTAATGCAAGGGTCGTCAGAACTACGGCTACGTAGTGGACATGATGATCGACCTCGATGTGTGCAGCAAACCAACCATTACCAAGTAAATGGTGTGAGCTCCCTCGGTGAGAATGAACAAGCAATTGAGCACAACTGTGATATGCAAGAGTTGCGATTGTGGGAAAATGAAATTGCCAGGCAAGTAACTGCAAGATAAAGAAAAGAACTATTTTACTAAAGTATTAAGTGTCACAGACAAGGGTTAACTATCACTGGTCAGTAAGAGTTTGCCAAGAGGTTTATTAACTTGTTCATAGAAAACCCAACCATTTTTCCCTTCAGCCCAATGCTTACGGGTAAGATTTCGTTTCAGAAGTTAATTGATATCCCATTTTTTTTGCAGGGCTAAGCCACAAAAAGCCACGAAGAAGATGAATGCAAGAGAGGCATTTTACATCACAGAGATAACAGAGGTTAGGCAGCATCGCCATGTTGATTCCAATGGAGGAACAACTGCTGTCTTCACCTGTCCCATCATAACCGATCGCTATGGATACAAGCTTGGATTGAGGATGTACCTTAATGGCGTGGGTAATGGAAGAGGTAGGCATGTCGCCATCTTTATGCACATGATGATGGGAAAGTATGACAACTTTGAAGTGGGGTGGCCTTTCACTCAGAAGATCACGCTGTCCATTATAGATCAGAGCGGTGCCCAACGCCATTTAAGCCGAATCCTTCAAGCCAAGCCTAACATGGTAGCCTTTGAGAAGCCTACGCAAGCCATCAGTCGTATGGGATGCGGTTTTGTAAATTTTGGTCCCATAGAAGAAGTATTTAGTCATCCTTATGTCAAAGATGACAAGCTTTTTCTTAAAATTGAGTTTTCTGCCTGACTGCAAAGATTTTCATGAATAACGAAAAATTACAACTTTGATTATATACNAGGAAGGTGCAAACGATGCCTTAAGAGCAGAAAGAACACTTTTTGTCGAATGGGATGTGAACTGTGCGGGATTCGAATTTGTTTGACTTGTTTTAAGAACCATCATTCCGCAAACCTGTAACCACCAACCGCGCGAAATTCGAATTTGCGAGAACGGGAACTCTGAAACTTGAAATGAAATTACTCGTAAATCCCAGACTTGCCAATTTTTTTTGCATTGTATTTCACTTTGTTATCTTAGAAATTGATATAATATTCTTAATCCTTTAGTATGCTGCTTTTAGTGTTGAATAAATTTGAAATTTTACCAGTATATTTCACAACTTACCTTGAAATGAGGAGGATCACTTAAAATGCAGTTTTGTATCGCAGTTAACTTGTTTGTATAAACTCCAACTGCATTAATTTTATATTGATATGAAAGTTCTTTCTCTATACAATAAACTTTTATTGCATTGCAACTCCTAAAAATGCATAGTTTTCTGGTTATTTTCCTTTGTGTTGAGGTACCCCTAATTTCTCCCCCAAAGTAACCATAATATCCCACACCCCTTGGGCAATTAGAGTGGTTTCCAACAGAACCCTGGTGGGAGTGAAAGGGTTAAATAGTACTTTACTGCGAAGGATCGTGCACATATACGTAAGTTCTCAGTCTTCGTCATTATCGTAGGCAGCTTCAATCGGCATTTTCACACCTAACTCATACTCCAGTAATGATATAAGCCGAGTTGAATCGTTAGACTGGTGAGTCATTTCAAGTTAGCTTCCGATGATATATAAAAGAAATGATGCTAAGGCATTGTTGTTGCTAAGCGGGCCCTTAGATACTGCTTCCATATTGAGTATTGCGTGCGTAAATTCCAAAAATAAATTTTTGGAAATGCCTAGTTCTACACACGGGATGTTGTCACGGCCAGACAAACCAAATTAATTGAAACGTATCAAATTTGCTATTGAGAATAATTTTCCTAGAAAAACAAACTCGTGTCGCCGTTAACCAACCTGTTTGGTCGGGTAAGTGTATTTTAATCTCATGATTATAAAATAAGCTTTCGAATGACACACCGGTCACGCGGCTGGTGGTTTTGGTGATATATTTCATTCTAGGATAAATAGCATGTAAGGTCTTTCACCCCCATAACGTAGTTCTGATTTGCTGAGCGAGCTGCCACATGATCTGCCAAAGTGACAAAATGAGTATCCCATTATTTTACGTTTGTAAAAGGAAAAAAGTTCGAAAGACTTGATAGATGTTCAGGAGAACGTGACGTTGCGTTACATATATGGTATTTTTAGAAATGAGTGACAGGGATCAAATGTCAAGTACTTTTACTTAGTTCGAGGTTTTGCCTTGTGTAGATCGAGTATTCGCCATGGAGGTTTTTTGCTTAGTCAAAAATAAAGTTTAATCGCGGATTTATTGAGGATTTATTGAAGTTTCACTCGTAAAGGATCACTCGTAAAGGATCGCTCGTGAATTGATCTCTCGTAAAGTTCGCGGACCGACCCGTTCCCAAAACGCTATACAAGTTTTAGTGAGGGTCTACCGCGGTGTGTGACTTTGTATGTATATTGAGCGTAATAGCCATCGAATTTCTTTCGCGACATCAAGCAAGGAATTGTCCATAAAGGCAGCCATTGCTTTAAACCATGCGCCCTAGGGTTCATTGTACGCTTCACGCTTGCCGAATTTATACCTGGGGCGTTTCCTTCGGAAAGCCCGAGTAATAATGCAAATCAGAATGATTGTAACAAACCCGTTAATTGAAAAATATCACTGAAAGATGTAGGGCAAGAGATGTTTTATGTTATACAAATTGAAGATTATGTATAGAGTGTGTCATGTTTTTTAGCAGGAATGGTGCAAGATTCTTCGCCCGCGATAATGAATTACAGGAGTCTGAGGTGAGCACCATAAGTAGCTTTTATGATGCAATTTAAGCTTGATTTTGAGACTTAAAATAAAGAATGTAATTCATCAAACATAACATTGTAATGGTAATTGAAGAAATCAGAAGAACAGAAAAAAAAAAGGATAAAAAATTAGAATACTAGGGTAGTCAAACTCCTACTCTTTTATTCACGAGAATAAAGAATGTCTGATCTACGTGGTTCTTTCCCTTTAATTTAACAATTGCTGAAAACAAGCGGAAATGATGCATGCTTTTTGACTGATATTATACCTTTTTTACCGAGCAGACTGAAAGTATTAGAACGAAAACATCTCAGTTGACCCAAATGAAGCCCTCTCGCTCACCCGGATGATCACAAAACACGTGGAAATCATTACTGTTCTCGGGCTTAAGCCATTCACCATCTTTAAACACATTGGAGGCGTACATTTTGTTATTTTGCAGGGCGGAGATACTCCCGAGAGCTATTTTGAGGGGAGCTGCAATTTTCACTCGCCGAACGCATTCCTGCGTTCCCTCGGAGATGAAGCACAAGAGTCGAGTCATCAAATGTCAAATGGTGAGCTGAACACTGGATCATCCTTCCCAATCACGGAACCAGAAAATGCCGCCATTGAAATGATAAATGGACTGTGGCATCAAGAGACTTTCGTGTACCCGAGGGAAGCTGACGAACAGCTTTCAGGACAAAACAGTGAAGTTTCTCCTCCATTTTCAGAGATGCACCCCTTTGAAAAAAACAGATCATATCAGAGGTCAACTCATCAACAAGCAGAGAGAGGACAGGAAAATGGATTGCCCAACCCTATGGCTTCCGGTGTAACCCCTGATGAAACATTCTTCTTCTCTCAAGAAGTGAATTTGCCTCCTTACTTGACAGAAGTTAGGGAAGAACGACACCTCCTTGACCCATGCGAGGGAGATGAGGCCTTGGTGGTATCCTATCCCATCCAGGAGGAGAATCCGCTTTCAGATCAACTGACGGAAACACCGCAGCAGCCAACGTACCATCAAGAAGATTGTGCACTTCACAATGGGTTGAGTTCACCTACTCAGGAAACAGCAGTGCATGATGCATCACCACCACCACCACCAGATACGGGCTATCCAGCACAAGAGAGAGAACAGGATGTTCGAGGTAGTTATCTAATGCAAGGGTCGTCAGAACTACGGCTACGTAGTGGACATGATGATCGACCTCGATGTGTGCAGCAAACCAACCATTACCAAGTAAATGGTGTGAGCTCCCTCGGTGAGAATGAACAAGCAATTGAGCACAACTGTGATATGCAAGAGTTGCGATTGTGGGAAAATGAAATTGCCAGGCAAGTAACTGCAAGATAAAGAAAAGAACTATTTTACTAAAGTATTAAGTGTCACAGACAAGGGTTAACTATCACTGGTCAGTAAGAGTTTGCCAAGAGGTTTATTAACTTGTTCATAGAAAACCCAACCATTTTTCCCTTCAGCCCAATGCTTACGGGTAAGATTTCGTTTCAGAAGTTAATTGATATCCCATTTTTTTTGCAGGGCTAAGCCACAAAAAGCCACGAAGAAGATGAATGCAAGAGAGGCATTTTACATCACAGAGATAACAGAGGTTAGGCAGCATCGCCATGTTGATTCCAATGGAGGAACAACTGCTGTCTTCACCTGTCCCATCATAACCGATCGCTATGGATACAAGCTTGGATTGAGGATGTACCTTAATGGCGTGGGTAATGGAAGAGGTAGGCATGTCGCCATCTTTATGCACATGATGATGGGAAAGTATGACAACTTTGAAGTGGGGTGGCCTTTCACTCAGAAGATCACGCTGTCCATTATAGATCAGAGCGGTGCCCAACGCCATTTAAGCCGAATCCTTCAAGCCAAGCCTAACATGGTAGCCTTTGAGAAGCCTACGCAAGCCATCAGTCGTATGGGATGCGGTTTTGTAAATTTTGCTCCCATAGAGGAAGTATTTAGTCATCCTTATGTCAAAGATGACAACCTTTTTCTTAAAATTGAGTTTTCTGCCTGACTGCAAAGATTTTCATGAATAACGAAAAATTACAACTTTGATTATATACGCTGTGCGAACATTTCCCACAAAACCTTTGGGTTTCATCGTTCATGGATCATCCCTTTTAGGTATCAGCGTTTTTGCAATCGAGTGTTTACACGAAGTGTTCTGTTATCAGTCATAAGGGTGTCTTCAATTTGTCCTACTCGCTTCTTTCGATAGAGATATCCTACGATTACTAAATGATAACTCTTTTTGAATAGTATCTTTCAAAGAGTATTGTTACGTTATATTAGACAAACTCATCTTTAGAATATCTTTAGTTAATTTTGTCTAGTACCTGAGCATTATCACATAATACTATTATTGTAGGCGGTCTTGTGCAATGTTGCCTGGATTCTGAAGTGAGCGGAGCGTTGATTTTTTCACCATTAATGAGGCACATTGGGATATCTTAAACTCATTTATAGGAGTTAGGCCATAATTTGGTGAACCGCGCCTGGCCTTTTCTGCTTGTGAGAATGCGTTTACGCTTGACGAGAGAAGTGAAATCCACTCTTGGTTCTGTTTATCAGAAGTGTGGTCATTTGTATCATTTTTAAAGAGTTGC